TAGTGGGCATTTTTCTATTTAAAATAAAAAAACATATTGAATTATTAGCAACAGAAACTCAAGCAAGCAATACTACAAAAGAACATTATTTGAAACAAATAGCGTATGATCATGTCATAATAGGAGTGTTATTGGTTCTATTACTGATATTTCAAATATTAGCAGAAAGAAAAGGTAAAATATCAATGAAGAAAAATTTATAACGACGATTTATTGAAAGTAATTATGATATTGTGCTACATTAGTGAATTATTTGGTTTTTTTTTCTACTTAGATTTCTTTTTAATCATGTAAATATTCAAATTTTCTTATTTTTTTAATTGAAATAAAAATAAATTGTATGTGATTTTGATATAAAAGGTTTCGATGACATTTCTATTACTTGCTTTTTTAAAAAACTAAGCATGTATTTGAGATGTTCTTTTCATTGCGAAGTAACATGATCAATTAATTTTCTCATCTTTTCTTAAGTCAACAGTTAAATATTAGAGTTCATTTGAAAATCAAATTGATTGTCTTTCTGAAATATTTCATCATCAACAAACTGATACGCTTTTTCTCTACTATAAAAGGCATAGTAAAGAACACACGATGAATTCTTCGAATTATGACAGTGATATTGAAAGACATTCACCCAAATAGTCAATGATTTCATTATGATCTGAACTAATTGATAATTATGTTAATAGGTAAGACGATCTCATGTTTGCATTAGAAGGTGGATGTGTACGTAACGAGAAGTACTACATCTAAATCCCACCATATTTTGCTGTTATTTATTTTAAGTTTTTGTGTCTGTTGTAACTGCCTATCAAATAATGAAGACGATGAGACAACGGTGTTTTTTTTTGTCCTATAGTAAACCAAACTAATACCTCTTTACTTTTATATACAGCGCAGTTTTAAATGCGATAAAAGAGAATGGTTGTGAAAAAGACCATAGAAATTGAAAGGAAAACAAAAAAAATACATCTTACCAACTTACGAAACTTCTAGATGAATCATTGTGTTGCTCGTCACTATTTCATTCTATTTCTTTGCTTCAGTAGTTTATGAGACTTTCAAAGGTTTGAAGAAGATGTTATTGATAGTGTTAAAGTATATTGTTAAATCTGACTCGTTATTTTACATTAGAAAATATGATAAAAATTAGATTATCTGTATTCAGTAACATCTAGTATGATAATGTTCATGTACGAGCAAATATCAATAATTTGAATATACATAATATATTCTAATCATGATATGTAGTAATTGTTTGTTTTTCGAATAGTTTTAGATTAATGCAACTAGAAAAGAAACGTAAAAGTATTGATGATTCAACTGATATTCGTACTAAATTGTTAAAATTAGACCAACCAACAAATGAAACTCAAGCTGTATCCAATCTACCAACAGTAGTTCATTTGCGTCGTTCAAAAGGAAAAATTGTACAAGATTGTGATATTTATATTGGTCGTGCTTGCAATATGGGTGGTTGGCAATTGAATCAAAGTAAATGGCATAATCCATATTCTGTTAAACAATATGGACGAGATGGTGCCCTGGATTGTTATAAAAAATATATTGAATCAAATCAAAATAATCTACTCGATGATCTGCATGAACTAGCTGGAAAAAGATTAGGATGTTGGTGTAAACCTAATCGTTGTCATGGAGATATTCTTCGTGAACTGTTCAAAAAAAGAAATTCAACAATCGAACAAAGCATCGAATAGTTAAACAAAATATTAAAAAAGAATAAGATTATGTTCTCATCATGTAAATAGATATTCTCAAAATAAATCTAAAATGAGACATGGATAAAGTTTTAATTAGAATTTTCGGTTGTAATGACTAATTATAAAATGAAATTATATTCATTTGACAATTATGATTCGTTGAACGAAAATTTTGTAAAATGTATTAACAATAGAAAAAAAAATGAATTGTTTCGACAAAATCAGTTGATTCTTATATTTGTTGTCTCATGTATTGTGATTGTCTGTGTAAAGAATAAGAATTTTTTTTAACACGAGAAAATAATTGAACATATATTTCTCTTTTCTATGTCAATGATTTTTATCTCTAGTTGCACTGCAGAGTATTTCATTAAAAACCATGAAAGAATTTAGATATTAATTAAGATTTTCTGGGCTTATCAAACCTTTAATATATCGCATTGGCAGAGATCCTGTACAACATGAAGTTGTTGAAAAAATCTGTTTTCAAACTTCATCCTGGAACTTCTCGCACTTATAGAACGCCTACATAGTAGTGTGAATAAGTAGTTTCGAATGTATTTTTGCTTAGTTTTTTCGATTTATGAACTTTTAAATAAATATGTACTTCCTTTTTCATCATGTATTGTATAATGCAAGAATATTTTGAAAAGTCTATATCTCAGAGATGCTTAGTCTGAAAATTCTAAAACTCTTTATTCATGCTAATTCATTTTGTAGTATCTCTCACAAAAAAAATCATTAAAGTAGAGAGACAATCTGAGAAAGATCTCTTGTGAGTCTATCCTTGTTCTGTATCGACTAATATTCAAAATGAAATAAGCTCTCTTTGTCATTTCTGACTGAAACATTTTAAATTGTAGAAGAAAAAGAAACGAGTGATATGTAACTGTCACACCTAATAAGATCAAGGTTCTTAGTATTCATATAGACGCAAAGACTACATTAAGCAATAATTTATTCTGAGAACTGCTTGAAATCTTTGAATAATCTATCATAATCTGAAAGCCAACAATATCCTTCGATTGTTACGTTAGAAATCACATGATGAACAGATTTTACCATTGAATCGGAAAATGCAGACTTTATTGACATGTCGACTGAAAATATTTCTAGTAGAGAAATAAGCAGTTGAATTATGATTCTCCCAAAACAAACTGTCAATAAAGCTGCACAAGTTGTTATTAAAATTAGTAGAATTATTTCGATAAAGATTCCCATCATATGAAACTATCACTTGCACTTGTTGACCGCAACAATTATTGAGAAATAGTTCAGTGTGTTGGGTATAATGAATTGGATAGAACATATTTGAATGAAACAATGTTTCGGTTAAAGCCGAATCTTGCAAATATTCCAGTGTGTATCAATAAAATTACACAACAACACTGTAATATTAGCTACAGAAAGCTCTTAGCACTGATTTCTGTTCAAATCACGATACTATCGTTATCAACTTGCAAAATCCAGATGAACCGATTGAAACACGTCACATTTGCAATTAGTTGCAGAGAACTCGGAGAATACTGAACAAAAATAATACTCAGGAACGACGAGAGATAATTCGATTCCTCGACCATTTATTCCCTTTTTATCTCTCTAGTGATTTAAAAATATAATTATAGTTATGCTCATTGAAAGAAATAAAAGTAAAACTGACGTCATACGAACACTAGTTATATCAAGTTAAGATCTAATAAACGAGCTATTTTTTTTTGACGATTGATCTTTGGTAGTAGATCGCATCATTTAAATAAAAAACTTATCAGTCAAAAATTCTTAATTCGAAAGTATGACGATGGCATCATTTCTGCTTGCACTCTTGAGCAATTCTTTGATTTCTTATTGTGCAACTCCTATGCATGTGATCGAAACACAGAAGAATGAATGAAGCTTACAATCAACAACTTATGAGGAATGTTCAAAGTTGCGAAAGCTAATATTTTCAATACAGCCATAATATCCAACGTAGCCTATAGAGTCATTCAAAATCACAATACACGAAATTATCGAAAATTTATCAATACCTGAAAAACCAATATCAATGAGTTTCAATGATTACTCAAATATTATAAGGAGATTTCCAGTTAATTTTGGGAAGTACTGGATGATAAGCAATGAATATCAAAGAAATTACAATAATTATTAACATTTCACAATGAATTTTCTATAGGAAATTGAAAAATACTAGCACATGAAAAGAAATTTCTCGTTGACTTTCGAAGGAAATCCATTATTTCCTCGGAAGCTATTGTGATTATGGAACTTCAAACAATTCTTTTTTAATTTTATTGTAAATAGATGGCACGATGAAGATCGATGAGGAAGTCTACTTCCAAGTTTGAAAGAATTTCTAGTAATCATCAAATAATTTTGATAGATACTAAGGAATTCTCATAGTAATGACTTACCTTACAGTAGTTACTGACATTCCTGAAAATTCTTTTAATATTTGCGATAGATTTTTCTATTCTTGTGAATCTGTATTTTGATCTATGAACATGTAAATTAAAGAAACTTTTTCAAACTTACTTTATTACGTCAGTATCATAGTACTTATGAAATTCTTCAAGGAATAACCGAAATATTACCTGAAGTTCATACGAAGCTCTTTCTGATGTGTTAACAACTACCATATTTACTCTGACAGTCCTTGATAGTCTCATAGTAGTTCCCGAACTTTCGTTTTCATATAAGAATTATAATAGAAACTTTTTTGAACTTTGTTACTTATATATTGGTGAATGTCGAAAATGAATTGATCAATTTGTGCATTTTGATCATGAATGTTTCTGAATGATATGATGAAAATATTGTTCACTTTGAGAAATTTATTCATAATATCCTCTTTATATGCTAAGTATTTCTGAAATTTAATCATTTAAAAGAAAAATTAAGTTTTTTCGAAAATCTGAACATGATCGGAATGAAAAGAAAAGAAACTAGTATTTATGTTTGCTGAGTTCTTCAGACAATAGAAATTAGTTTCGTTTCAAATAAGCGAAAACTTATATGTATATAATAAACATCTTTTTAAAGCCAATGTTTTTGAATATTTTCGTCGATTTTCACAATAGAAAGATTTTACTGTATATCAAAATAACCTTTTGAAAGATCTGAATGAAAAATAAACGCTTGATTAGTGCCCTGTGTTTATAATGTATACACACGTTTGAAACTAGAGCATTCTAAAGACAAAACTTCACTCGTTTTTTTTTATTGTGAACCATTTCTATTTCACGAATAAGAGATGACGTGGTATATTTTTGTTAGACAGAATCAATCATGTGAGTATTTTTTCATATGATCTCGATCGTTTCTCCTAGATCAAAATTATAATAAAGAAAATTAAACATATTTCAAAAGAAATATAACATACTTTGTACAGGCCTTATCAAAGCGGCATTTTTCCTTGCCAACATGATCACGTTTTGTTTTATTCGGATGTGCAAATTTTTTTCGATGATTGGGATCATCACTTAAAAACAGAAAAAAATAACACATTAGCTATTGTAGATTTAACTTGATCAAACTATCGTTGACTACATTCAAACTCATCGATTGATTTTTCTGAAAAATTCTAAGGATTTGTGGCTTTTAAAATAACTTTTCATTTATTTTTTCGATTCGATCGAACTTTCTTGAAAAACTATATCAATCTATATTTTAACCTAGGTCGCAATGCAAAAAATTGCGTTCGTATTGATAGAAAAGCATAAATGTTGAAAGAGGGTGTGTGTGGAGGGTGTGGAATACATCATTTTCAATCTGATTCCAGCATTGGAGTCGGAACTACCCAAGCCTGCTTGACAAGTTCTTCGGTTTTGTTCTAAGAAATCAAAAATTTTATTAGAAAATCATTATTCGATTTCTTTCAGATCGTCTTCTCTTCCATGAGTTTTTGAACAGAAATATTGGTAAACAAACATACTTATAACACTCTGCGCCGTAACGGCACTGTATCTTGTCCGAATGGCCATAATCCGAATCACCTGGATGTGCAAACTGTGCACGATGATCAGGGTCTTTTCTATATTAAGATGATATTAAGGATAAAAACAAAAGTATTCAATGAAAGTATTTTTACAAACCTATAACATTCTCGACCATATCGGCAAGGACGAATTGGCCCAGCTGTCAATAGACATTAAAGCAAACGTTAAATCGGTGACATAGTATTTCAAACAGTGATCATTTCCTATACTTACATGTATCTCTAGTTGATGATCGATCTGATCCACCAGCATAATGTCCAGGCCGTGCGAGTTGAACTAAAAAGTAGTAAAAAATAATATAAACAATTAGAATGAATTTCTTGAAGTGAAGCAATACAAAAAAGATTTTGTAACATACAAGAGCATTGGGGGTTGTATAATTATTTCTTGAACGTTAGTGTAAACATTAAATCTGATCGATTCGACCCAATATGTTTTTATTGCATTTAATATTCGACCAGTAGCATATTCAAAAGAAAAGCGAACCTGTTCGAAACCTTAAGATCGAACAACTCTTTAGTCATGCTTCAAACAGAAATTGAAAGTTTTTTTTTTTAAGTAGAACTCCACTGTTGTTTGAAGAAAGAAAGGAAATCTAAATGCTGTCATTGGTAAGATATCTTTTACCAAGGTTATATGTTGAGTGTTCATAACCATAATATCTAATCTCAAGAACCTACACCAACATAGTAGTTACTTCATTTTGCTCGGTTTTCTTTTAAATGAAAAACTATATGTTTCAAAACAAAAATAGATCTCATTTTCTCATCTATCCTTTCGTGTTAATTATATATTGACCACAATGATACGATGAAAAAAGAATGCAGATCCAAATATATGTTCTAATTTTAATTATTTTTGTAGATTTAATAATTAACTTACCTAACCCTTGTCGAACATCATTAGGTACCTTCGTATAACATACGTCATCAACAGGGCAAAAATTTTTATCCAGTGACTCGACAATCTTTCCGAATACCGGATGTGCTTTTAATTGCATAAGTGTGTCTTTAGCACTCGAACGATCATCAGGATTCTTTTTTAATAAAAGTTCAATAATCATTTTATAGCCACCATCTTCTGGTACTGCAACATCTTTTGCATCCTTATCATTACAAAAATTTTCATATTCATATTGATCTTTCCATGGTAATCCACCACAAAATAAAAGATAAAACATAACACCAGCTGCCCATGCATCCGATTTTTTATGTAGACGTCTTGACATAATATTTTTTGAATTACGATGTAAAAATTCTGGTGAAGCAAAATATAAAGTATGAGACTTGGTAGCATCGACTGTAAGATGAGCACGTAAAGTGTTCATTTTTTCGACTGTACCAAAATCAATTAATTTAATACAAAAACCTTGTTCACTCGGAACAATAACAAGATTTTGTGGTTTTATATCACCATGAATAATACTTAATTTTTCGAGAAATGCTAATGCACGTAATACATAAATAATAATAATTATACCACTAACAATGATATCTTGAGCATCTCCTTCGGATACTTTATTGAGCCAAAATGTAACAAGATCACAAGCAGCTAATTCCATTGCAATAAAAATACCTTCTTTCGTTAATTTACTACCATAAAATTCGATAATAGGATGATTATCAATAGGAATTTGTTTAGTTAAACGTAAAAAGTTAATTTCATTTCTGATTTCTTCTTGTATACCGGGTGTGTTTTCCATGACTTTAATAGCAACCATCATATTTTTATTTTTAACTTTTGCTTTATAAATTTCACCGAAACCACCTCGATTTACGAATTGAACGATTTCATATGTAGTACCTTCAATTTCAATTTCTCCTTTTTCATCACGTATAACTGTTTCATTATTTTTTGATTGTGCAAGGGCTAATAAAAGTCGGGCCATCTGTTCAATTGTTGCTTCATGTTGCCGTTTATTTGCTTCTTCTTGTTCAGTCAGACGTTTTGCCAATTCAGCATTCTGTTTCATAAGTGCTTGTTGTTGCTGTTCGAGCGTATCAATCTTTTGTTTTGAGTTACTGGTTCCCATTGTTATAATAAATTAATGTGTGTAAAAAGACCACTAAGAGTAACAACGATCGGCAAAACACAATTGCGCAGTTGATAAGAAATTCAAGTAAAAATGTCCTTCACCAAAGACAGACGTCGCCGAAATTTTTCTTTCTTACATCCGTCTCTATTGCTATACCAAAAATAACTTGTTTTTTTTTAAAGATAAAACTCCTTTTTATTCTGTTGTATTTACAAAGAAAAAAGAAAACAGAATGCGTTTTGTTTTTTTTTCTTTTGATTGTAAAAAGGTAAAGAGAAAATTTAAAATGGAATATGACCTGTGTTGACTGTCTTCTATTCAAAGAAACTTGTCGTTGATAGGTAAAACAGCAGGAAGAAAAAAAATGTTTTCATTAGTCATATAAAAAACAGCTCGGAAGTAAAACATGTTGTCGTCAACTATTCTTTCTCATACACGTGGTGACGACAACAAAAAATATCTAGGATCTTTAATATATACATGCATATATTTGTCTTCTTCTATGCTCAACAATTTAAAACGTAAAGAAAAAGTCTATTACATTTGATGTTTCTTTGTTGAATTAACATAGTTTCAATTGCTGAATTTAATTTGAAAACTGAATGAAAGTAGTTTAAAACTAATTATTTTAAGACAAAAATATTTTCACTGATTTATTTTAGTCAAGGATTATCGTTCACAAAATTCGATGTAAAGAAAAAATAGATGACACTTTTGACTTCACCAGAATTCGAGTCATTAATCTTCAATAAGTGTTGAAAAGCAACATTTTCAATCGATATTAATTCATTATCTGAATACATTCCTTTTCAATGATCTATTCAAATCCTATTTCTTGATGAAACGCATGATAAACCTTTCCTATGATATTCAAAGTTGAGTTTTAGGTTTCCTTTAGAACAGAAGTATTTGTACACAAATCTATCTACATAATGAAACATACATCATTCGATAGAGCTTGTCAAGCAGCATCAAATCAACTACGTATGTCTAATTAGTGGCTCGAGTGGTAGAGTGAATCGTTAGAACAAATACTCTCTGAAAACCTGATTTTAAGTACCTGAGGGCTACTGCCCAACAACGGTTTGCTTTCAATTGAAATAAACAGACATGATTCAATAGATCCTGTCAAGCTGAATTGAATACCCCCCCCCCCCCCCCTCCCCCCAGAATAAAAGGACATGCTCTTATACAGTGTATTGGCACATCGCTACTTTTTGGAGGGCCTTCTATTGGGGGTCAATTTTTGGCCAGTTTTTAATTAAAATCATTTAAAAAATTAATAATTAATTAATAACTTTAATTATTGTTTTTTAGGTGTTTTTTGCTGAAAAAACTACCATTTTTTGTAAAAACTGTACTATTTATGATAGGAAAGGAAGGATTTCGCAAAAAAAACATTAGAAAATCGGTTATATTTCCTTAATTATTAATTAATATTTATGAAAAATTCATTAATTTTGGAATATATTAATTAATTAGTACATGGCCTTCTAATAGGGGTTTGAACTTTTGCTCAGACATGGCCTTATACAGGGGGTGGCCTTCTATTTGGGGGGAGGTTACGCTATGCCCTGTTAATAGTTTAAGTGGCGCCGTGAATCGTCAGAGCAAATACTCTCTGAATTCATGGCAGTAGGCATCTCATGGGTCCTAACCAACAATGGTTTGCTTTCAATCAAATGAAACATACATCGTTCGACAGAGCTTGCCAAGTCGCATCTAGCTCATTCCATTATCTATCAAATTTTGATTAATCAATATCTTTTCCAAAAATCAAGTAAAATTAATTTTGAGCTTTGTTATTTTACTCTTTGATTAGTGTTTAATCGAATTAGTAGATAGCAGCTAGTTTGAATCAGAAACGAACAAGACTATTTTTTGAAATGCAATGCATAATTGGCTTTTAATGTTCAGCATTACATTTTCGTTCAATGAAATCCCGATTGAGAAATTTCAATTATTCTATCAAAGTAGAGTATAAACTCAAGTAAAAAACATAAGGAATTTTCATTGAACAGAATAGACTGACACCGATTCTCTCAAAGAAATAGTGTTCGATATTAGAAAAAATTATTTGATGTGCGAAAAAAAAACACACAAAATCTGGAACAATTCTGATTCACTAATTACCCTAAGATTTGTAAGAGTGTCACGGATAATAAAAGTATAAATGTTATTGATTTTTATAGAATAGAATTAGTATAATGTTGTCGTTAAAATATGCTTCATAGACTGTTATAAAAAATATTAGTGTTCAATGCATATTTAGATCCAGTATAGAAAATGTTCATCTTTATATGTATACATATACTCCTCACATTAGGAAGGATTCTTTCATTAAATCAAAGGGTATCTTTGGCATTAAGATGCTGGCAATGCATAACCGTGAGCTGAGTCATCAAGAGTTTCTTGAGCTTGACAATAGATGATGATGAGAGAAAAACATTAGCTTTGTAGTACGTAGTGAAGCATTGAGGATTCATCTTTAAGAAACATGTTTATCAAAGCGATGTATTTTCACACAATTCGAAGAGGTCTTTCAATATATTAACTCCATTTTCATTCAGTCGATATTCATAGAATAATACGATAAAAAGCATGACGTCCCAGTATCATTTCTGAAGTTCAGATTGAAGTAGCTTACACCTGTCATACGGGCAATGTGTTTATCATTGACATGAATTCATCAAACATTAAATTAATGGTCAATATTGATTGCGAAAGTTTGGCAATACGTCTTATCGAACGCATACTAAGATCTTCACCATCATATGGTATCAGCACTGGTTGATAGCTAAATTTGACGTTGATTGCAGTTTTGCCATCTGACAACTACCTCGAATTCATCTGTGAGAAGCTTGACATTTATCTTTCTTGATTAATCTCTTTTCGCTGTCATCAATCATATTTACATGATCTAGTATTGGCAACTAGTCAAAGGAAACGAATGTGGTGGAAGCATCAACAATAATTTCTATGTGAACTAGAATCAACGAATAATTTGACCTTTTGCCGTGTTGAACCATGAAACAGACTGACTCAAGATGTCATGATGTTATCCAAAGCAAATTATTGAAAACCACCAGTTGTAGTCCAATAACAACGAACGCATTCTTTATCGACAAAATATATTGCACTGAAAAGAATCAATCATAGCTTACAATGCGGTTGCATAGTTATTTTTTTGAAACTACGAAATTTCATGGCACATTGTAAGAAAAAATAGAGCGATACTTAGTGCAGAAAAACAATAAACAAAGATCACTTATTCTTTGAAACACTTGAGGCATCTTACAAGGACGTTTTGATAATCAAGCCATTAAATGATTGTTATCTCTCATGTATGTACGTGGTGTGCTAACTATCAGAATGAAAAGCGTTGTCTACTTGTGACCAACATTGGTCGATTTCTTACAAATTTACAGGGAGTAATTTTACGTGTTTGTTTTGATTCTGTTAGCTTCGATTGAGTCCGGAACACCAATCCTAAGTATCAAAAAATGGCCGATCGATACGAATCATAGATTTATGAGAGACCTATTTCTCATTGATAAAAAACAAGTGCTACATGATAGCAAAAATGACGATTGATCCATTTAAAGAGGAATGCTATAATGAAAAGAGGAAACTTCGCGATATTAGACAAGAAACTGTTGGATAAAGATTGATTTTTTTAAGGGGTATTATATTTATCTAATTATTTTATTTTAATGTTGTAATTAAAAAGGTAGACTGATTTCTTGATTGCAAAAATAAAATTACTTGTGTCATATCTAAAAAATCTACGCCGTTGCCAAATGAGTCAGGTTAAATTGATAATCGTTTTCATTAATCGTTTTTAAATGAATGACCCAAACATTGTCTGCATTTGGCAGTTGACGAATATTGCCTATGCGAAAGACGCTACCCATGGCAAACAAAGTTTCTTCTTCATCTTGAAACATGGAATAGTGAGAAATATTTGCATATGGACGTGCAAGTGCTTCTGGCTTTGTTTCAATGCTAAATATGACTGAGACCAGGTCAGGATTTTCATGATATTTTCCCGCATACATAAGAGCTATCTGTACTGATGCTGTCGTTGATAAGAATGTGTTTATCGAAATAATACTACCTCGAAGTGTGTTGAAAGTATCAAATTCTTTGTTTGACATCAATTGGCCACGATAAAATGTCTCAGGTGTTGATATTTGTAAAGATCGATGCATTTGTCGATAGGATTCATTCAAATGGGCATAGAGATCAGTGAGAATGTATCGCAATTGAAACATCATGTCGACGTTACTTGATCGAAGTGCTTGATTAATTGTTCGACAAACAAATGAATCACGTGTATACCATTGGACAGCTGCATTTGAATGGTAAGTATTTTCAAAGTTATCAATCTCGGCAAGAATCTCTTGATTATCATTGAATGTACGACGAAATTCAGCAAGCATTTCTGCTTTTGACTCAAGTGTATGTGGCATGCAAAGAAGACTGTCAATTGTTCGCTGATGAGCCATGAACAAATGAGGTTCCTCTGGATTATAAACAGTTATTGGTAGAGGCAATAGTGAATTCACATCTTCTACATTCTGTAAAATCTAAAGAGTAGAATATGCAATAATGTTTTCTTTTTCATATGCAACAGTTGAAGTGACTCCAATTAGATATAGAGAAAAAAAAATTATTACTCGAAATTACAAAAATTCGGTTTGTTTACATAATTTTATAGATATCTGGCAATGTATGAAATTTCAAATAAACTAATATCATAAGTTCTGAAGATCTATGACAATATCTGTGTCTGTTTTGATGATCGAACAGACTCTTATTTGCATATATCCTTTACAAGAAATGACTTTTCTATGAGCTGACTCAAATCAACTTTGTAGAGCGTCTGAATTTCACTAAGACACAAATTGAGTTGGTGCAAAATAAATTATCAAGCATCGGTGGAATATGATGAAATCATTCCGTTGAGTTGGTATCTTTTCTATGTAATAGGAATT